GACAACAAAAAAAATCCATCATGATCTTACATAATTTACTGATTATCGAAATACTTTTCCATCACAAATCATCATGCTTTTTGTCGGGACCATCAAGACTGACAGCAACAAAAAATCCATCATGATCTTACATAATTTACTGATTATCATAATACTTTTCCATCACAAATCATCATGCTTTTTGTCGGGACCATCAAGACTGACAGCAACAAAAAATCCATCATGATCTTACATAATTTACTGATTATCATAATACTTTTCCATCACAAATCATCATGCTTTTTGNAAAATATTTTTTTTTTTGAAATTGTATAAAATTTGAGACTGAGGAACACAAAAGACATAAAAAATTATTAGATTGATCAATTAATAAAATTTTTTATTCTTAGTTGTTAAAAAAAATTTAAGCAATAATTAGTTTTATGTGTTTAATAATAATTGTTATTATTATTGTTATTGTAATTATATCATTATATTATGATATAAATATCTTCATAATAAACAGAAATTTAGTAGCAAAACAGTTATAAACTAAATTTATATGTTTAACATTCTTTTTAATTGGAATTAACTAATAATATGAAACGTCGGTTAGTAGCTAATGTCACTATCTAATTTGAAAAATCAGCTGAATCAATAAGATGAATATGTTCTTTATGAATATGTTAGTTTAAAATAAATAAGGATATATCGAACAAAACTTATTTTATTTTATCTTGCTGACTGAAGTAAATATGTTGATAGATATTTCTGAAATCAATAAGAAAATATTTTTCTTATACATAATTTTTTCTATTTATTTTGAATCAGTTTTATTTCCATAGATGACGCCACCAAAAATGTAATTTTAACTCCTTTTTAACTCTTTATTTCTCCTGTATTTATTCTAAATTTCATTAAATAATAATATTAATATTAGCAAACTTTATGCACAAGTATGTGCCCAAAAATAACATTTGCGAATAGTGTCAAGTTTGTTTTCTTCAAAACATAACTTTATAAAGATAAAAATCGACTTTATTTTAATCTGTTTACATTTAACCAATTTAGAAATATTAGAGTTGATAGATGTCGCCACCATATATTTAAAAACATAAACTTTTAAAATTTATTTAAGAATATATACGGCAGAGTATCTATACCATGCTACATAAATTTTTGTTTCTTTAGTAGTAAGCTAAAATTATTTACAGGAGAAAAACTAGTTTTTTGTATTATATTTGCGAAACAAGGACATGGTCGCATTTATTTTGGTTCTAAGAGAAATTTCTCATAATGGGTTACAGTGTCGCTAAGGTGGATTTTCAAATTCACTATATTTTTGATATCCGACAAAAGAAGATTTTTTTTAAGGAAATTTATTACCAGCTGATTTAAATGTTTGTGATTTCAAAAAGTACATATGATTAAGAGTGGTTACGTCTAATATTATAAAAATTTGTCAAGCGCTTTTTTTTTCTTTAAATTTCTATGCAAAGAGCAATCATTGAATATACGCTTATCCTAAACGACAATGTCAAATTACTGTTTTATATTTTAGGAATTTCTAATGAGTAAAATAACTAGAAAGCACTTATGCATTTTAAAAATTATCAATTCAATGTGGCTTTTAAAAATGTATTACATTTTTATTAAAAGAAAAATTCTAATACATATGTTTAACATAATTCTTAATACATATTCTTAATACATTGTTTTGTATTGTTCAGAAGAAGTGTCTTGCGTGTTATTGCCAAGTCTGTCACTAAAGATAATAATTTTTGAAATTACTCAATAGAAGATACTACCATTTTTTTAATATTGCTTTCATGATTCAATATGTTAGAATAATCATTTAAAAAAAAAATCTTAAAATGAAAGATTACTTTCGAGATTTTTGAATTTTCGTAGTTTGCAGATTAGAGTGCTACTTTCTTAAAAAAGTAGCGTAATGAGTAGTGTTATACAAATAATAATAATAATAATAGCTTGTAGCGATTTCTAACAGCTGCTTTTATCGTTAGTTTAGTAAAGAAACAAGGTTCTAACGCAACTAATTTTTCAAATCTGATGGGTACAAATCTTTGCTGGTCAGACAATGGATGCAATGAAGATACTCCTGTGACTAATCGTTTACAAGAATTATGCAATGGAATCATGCGTAACTGATATTTAAACTAGTCATTACGCTAAAATATCATATGGTATGTCAGTAATCATATATTTGATTTAAAGAATTGAAAAAAAAATTAAATCAATTTCCATTTGTGTAATGATATCCACATGTAATGCTGTCATACATCCAATTTAAATTTCTTTTTTATCAAAATTTAAGCAAAGAAAAAATCAATTTCAGATGCTAGTTGAAATTAATACTAATAATTCAACAATTGAAATCAGTTTGTTAAATTTAACATGATGCATTATTAAAACATTTAAAAATACATTTGTAGGTTTTGCTTTTCAAATTCGTAAAATAAGGAAGTAAATTTTTTTTTCTTTTTAAAAGCTTTGTGTTGCTTTAGGTAAAAGTTTAACAATAAAATTACTATTTGTACAAATCGAAATAAATTCTAAAGCTTAAATGTAAGTCGTTTCTTAGAATAAATGAACTTTAAAAAAATTCATCAAATTTTCAGTAACTATTAATTCAATTTAAATTTATGGGTATATAGCATTCATTAAAAAAAAATATGCTAAAAATATACGTTTCATATTACAAATTTTTAAAATTAACTTCTAAATTGCATTTTAAATTTTTTTAAATTTTCAACAGACTTTGATTTGACTACTATTTACTAAAGACAAGATCATGATGGTTTTCCATTGATGGTCTTACATAAATGTGATGATTACCATCTTGAATTTCCATCAAGAACCACTATACAGTTTGGTGGAACCATCAAATCTGCCCAACATTCCAAGTTAGGAATTGGCACCTGTTCACGTTGTGCTAACATAGCATACCCATCACAGTATGGTAGATTTTTATAATGGGGCAACAAAAAAACCCTTCGGGATTCAACATTATTACTGGATACCATAATAATTTTTCATCACAAACCATCATGGTTTTTGTTGGGACCATCTAGATCGCCCAATTACCCGATATTGAAATTATCACAGCTTAACGTTGGGTCAATCAAACTCTCTTCGCTTGGTTTTGACGGGCGAACTTTTTTCACTTCAAACAACGAATCTTACCTTTACAAGGTGCGTTACTAAGCGATAATCATTTCAAATGCTAATCAAAGCAAGCTGGGAGAGTGTTTTTCACCACTTCCGCACAATAATACATGCTTGTTCTACTCTTTTTGCCTACTTAAAAAAAATAATAAACTTTTACTGCTACTTTGCGCGAAATAAATTATCAATTTATTTAACCGACAATTGTTATTTATAACAAGACAAATTGATATTTGTAAAATATAGTATATTGTTACGTAAACATTACTTTGTGTTAAAAAAATATTAGGCACAAAATATAGTCAGCATGAGATGAAGAATATATCATTATTCAAAGTGAAGTGGCTTATCATACATGGTTTATTATAACTTGTTCTATCATGCAATAAAGGATAAAGCTCCATTATTAGTAACAAACATTACTTGATAGGTCACTAGTCTAATAATGGTATGTCAATACGTTCCTTCCATCATTAAACGATAGGTGTTGTTGGTTCACCAATACCAGACCACAGAGTTGAACTCAACTCTATGTACCAGGCATCCTTTAATGGTTTACCATCATAGTATTAAAACAACATTTTGCATCATGAGATGATGGAATTTGGGGGTCTAAGANTTATCATATTTCTATTGTGAAATGCGTAATTTACCTCGAAATACAGACATCGCGCCGGGAACTATTTTCTTCGTTTGCCCTCAGCATATTTCTCCATTGTCAAGAAACATTGCAGTTTAGTATAGTCTAATAATGGTATATCACTACTTTCCTTCCATCATTAAATGATAGGTGTTGTTGGTTCACCAATACCAGATCACAGAGTTGAACTCAACTCTATGTACCAGGCATCCTTTAATGGTTTACCATCATAGTATTAAAACAACATTTTGCATCATGGAATTTGGGGATCTAAGAATTTCTCACATCCATCATATAATAAAATATCATCTTCCAACATGAAATGGAAGTTTGTCGGCCAATCAAAATGCACTAAAATATGATGGGAATGGTTAAATTATAGTTACCATTAAATAATGTTGGGCCATCAAGAAACCAATATAAACCATCAAAACATCTTGATGATCCCATTAAGAATTTTGTCTTGGGTATATAAAAAAAGAACGTTGGTATAAAAGTGTACCAAGGTTTCTACTCAATTCCAAAAACAAAAACAAAAAAATTCTCTGACTTTTCCAATTATATCAGGAAAATTTCAATGAAAATCCAGATCATACTTTATCTATTCTGTGCAACTTTTCATTAGAAGACTTTGATTTCTTTTTTATATGTAATGCCAAATATTAGACTTTCTGAGCAAAGGAAATATGATTGAATGAGGATGGGGAAAATGCAACATTTTTATAACAAATAATTGTAAAAGATGTTACAATTATTTAACTCGAATCTCAATAACTGATATTGACACTTCTAGGACTGGTTATTTTCCAGGTATGATAAAGGAATTTTCCAGGTTTTTCTAAAAAATTGTGACTTTCCCTTACAATTCCAGGTTTCCCCTGCTCTCCCTGACCCATGGGAGTCCTGTGAACGGCACATTAACTAAAAATTGTAAAGCACCTATTAAATATTGTTCTCCAAAAATTAGGACTTTCAGTCAGGGCTTTGCGTTCAAAAATTGGGACTGAATAGTCAGTCAATTGTAAAATAAACATGCTAACAGTATTTTGTGTTGTGTGAACTTGCGTTTGTAATATTAATTTCTCTGGAACAAAAAAACGATAAAATTTTTAATAGCTATTAAATTGAGTGTTCTGCAACCAGATGATTTCGTGAATTTATGCACAGAAGTATGCAAAAATAAAAGAATATTAAAAAAAAACAGTAATAAAATAGCTTTTATTTCATACTTAAACAAAAAATGGAGGTGAAACAGTAGTTGTAAATGCAACAAATGAAATATGTTCAAACGAAACACGTTTTGGCAGCTTCTGGTATCGTAAAACATAGGTATGGCATAGGGTATCACATTCTTGTACATGCAGGTAAGGAGCCATTAGTTATTGTATCATCGTTGTCATAATCCATGTATGGCCTATACCAGAATTTGAACTGCATCAATGGTATTTCATTCACTTCTCTATAAAAAGGCAGCTCACACTTCAACGTCTTGAGCCATCCAGAAATGTTGGGGTAAGGTCTAAAGTTATAATCATACGCCTGAAAGATGGAAAACAATGTAGTTTAAATGTAAAAATAGTATATTTTGTAAATGTTGTCTGGTAATAGTAAACGTTATTTTAACTACTACCCAATCCCTTATTTACAATAGCGAGAATAAACAAATATTAAAAAAATTAGTATATTTTTCCATTTTGCAGTTGGAAATGCATTAATATTGTTCCCGTATCTTTTTGTTTCTTTTCTGTGAACTATTATTGAATTAGAATAGAACTATGGATAAATGAAAAAAAAAAATTTCTTTCCATTTTACTCTTGGAAATGCATTGATCTTGTTACGGTTTCTTTTATTTCGCACTCTGTGAACTATTAATCAATTAGAATGGTACTATTAATAAATAATAATTAATAATAATGATTTTTTAATCTGGTATATTTGTTTAAATATAAAATAATAAAAATAATTTGTAACAATTTGCACTAAAATTAATTAAGAGTGAGAATTCATGAAGCTCTATCTAGAAAGTTTGTAAAATTCATTGCGCAAAAGTCAAAATTATTACTTTTAGCCAAAATTCTTTCTAAGTATTTTTATGGTTTGGGGACGTGCAGGAAAGAAAAAGGGAGCTAGAAGCTTGAATATATAAAAAAATGACTTAAGAATAAGACCTAGAAATAAAAGTAGGTAATTTTTAATGCTTTCTTTCTCTTGAAATTTAAAGAAGTGCCGTAGTTGTTCAGAATTCAATCTAATGTCATGCTCCAGGTTATTTAAAAGTAAACGAAGTAAGCGGTGAGGAGAAATGACTAGCACCACTAGTTCTTTGATTTAGAGTCAGTTTGCGTTGAATGTCAGGTTTTGGAAATAGTTCATTAGTGTAGTTAGTCTAATAAGTTAGTTATCAAATCAACCAGACGTATAAACTGGTTTTATTAAAGCAACAGTTTTTTTTTTTTTTTTTTTTTTTTNTATTTTATCCTGAAATATTTGAAAAGCAAGATAGTTCTTTTTTTTTTTTTTTTTTTTTTTACGAAATACCTGAAACAGGAGTTAACATTTTTAAAGAAAGTGCACAAGACTTATCGTGACTTAAAATAAGAGCATTTAGAGACAACATATAAAAGGGTTGCCCGAATGAAAAATAGACAAATATGACAAAACGTCAGAAATATAGTAAGCAATGTTGCAATCCATGGTTATAAATTAAAGTTACTGAGTGCACTGCAGCTTACGTAGAACTGGGTTATTAGTTCTCATGAATGCCTTTAAAGGTAATGTAAAGTCGTGCTGAAATGGATGTGACAAGAACAAAACGCGTACTTGTGTGATTTTCATTGCAAGAATGTAGGCGAAATTCTACTTACTGACAAAATGATGACTGCTAATGCGAATATTGTTCAATACAAATGGCGTAAATTTCTGCGAACATCGCATGGCATGAATATCAGATTTTTCAAGACACAGGGTCAGCAAACACCATGATCTTCCATTAAATTTCTTTTTTTTTTTTTAAGAAATAGCTAGAGGCAACTGGAGAGTTAAGCAACTCGTGACATCTGTGCAGCACTTTGAGCAAAGGAACGGTGCAATCACCCTTCTGGCACTAAAAACTGTACTACTTTGCAATGAATTATTCCACTCAAGACACGACTCTACATTCACTTTAAATGCTATCATGTGAAATAATTAATCAGTTACACGCAATCTGCATAACCGCCTCATCTTTCTTCATAACCGATGCTGTCTCAACTGTATATCTGATATTATTACTCTTGTCCACTTTTTTTCGGTACTCACAGATTTATAAAATCTGCTTAATTTGATACGAGGAAAGCTTCAACAGGTTTGCTTTTCGAACAGTAAACAAACTGCTTTGTTCTATTGTTATTTTTCAAGCATTGCGTGTTAACATTTAAACAAATCATGAATAATTTTTTTGCATGCTCATTTCATTACCAAACTTAGCGAACGCGTTTCTCTTTAAGAGGATGCACTTTTTTTTTTTTTATATCTGCTGCAAAGAAAAAAAATACTTTTGCAATAGAAATTTTTAACACAAATTTTAAATACTGAGTTACTTCATTAAGTCTTAGATTGGTACTTTGCATGATCAGATATTTTGTTAAGATAGAGAAGTTTCGATTTGTTGATTCTTCATGCGTATCATTGGAAAAAAAAAGTTCTAAGAAGTTCAGTTTTTTTTTTTTTTTTACGCGTAGTCGGAATTCGTCATGCTCCATTAACAGACACTAAAGAACATCTAATATGCCTTTAAAAATCTTTGAAAATACAAGAAGATGTAGCCGTGATCGTATAGTGGTTAGTACATTGCGTTGTGGCCGCAATAACCCAGGTTCGAATCCTGGTCACGGCAATTCTTTTTTATATTTTTCTTATTTTTTACATTTTCTAAAAATTTAGGCAAAGTTTTCCCAATTTTTTCATAGAGAGCTAAAAAAATACTTCAACATTGCAAATTTAGGGGGAAATATTTTGCCTACATTAAATAAATTAGCTTTATAATTCTGATGTTTAATCTTTATTTTAATAATTTTTTAATTTTTCAGTCATACAGTAGTTCAATTTTTTTGCTTTATAATAAAAAAGTCTTAATATAAAATGATAAAGCGACTGAAATGGGTTAGAATGATAAAATGATCAACTTTTAATATTCAATACAGTTAGTTAAAAAAAAAAATTTCCGGTTACAATTCAGATATCCGAACTACAAACTAAAAAATATTAATGTATGGCTAGATAATTATTGAAAATTTATCATTATATTTCAATTAGGTTTTGTAATTTTCTTCTGCTTGTCCAGGAATTTGATGAAAATGATTTGTTAAATCCAAATTATTCTATTATTTAAGAAATTGAATGTTTATTTTTAAAGATAAAAATTAAATATGCTCAATGAGTTGGCATAAGATAGAAGGAAAAAAATTATAAACGGAATTACAGGTACCGAAATTATTTTTTGAACACATATTTTTTCAAGTTATCTTGCAAAGGAAATTCGTCATTTTTTTTTACTTCTATTCTTTGAAATTTCATTAGGAAATTAATAATGAAGTAATAGTAGTACTGTAAATCAAATAAATGCCTTTGACTTTTTAAAAGTTAAGCTCCATTTTCTTATCTTGTTCCAATTAACAACAAAACGGTAATCGGGCAACTGCAAAGCGACTGCACAATATTGTAATCTTCTCCCAAAAAGCTATTTTTCAGATATATGATTTCCTTCAAAATAGATTTATTTCCAGTTTTATAGTAGTAGGTGGAGGAAAATTAAAAAGTTAGACATCATAATTATGAAACCTATAGCAATTTCACAGCTATATTTTATTGATGGATGGGCAGTCTATAATTAATAATGAAATGTTGAAACATGCATAACAAATTTCCTAACATTTGAAAACTGAATTATTATCGTATTTAATCCTTTTCTCATCAAAGAAAAATCATTGATGTAATTGGTGGTCTTTTAATATAACAACCTTGAATTAAATGCAGAATAAAATCTATTTTTAGATTCCCTCGACATCTGCCTGACACATTAGCATAGAATTCAAAAAAAGGTTTTATGGTTGCTAAAGTGTTTCGATTTAATTAAAATTCGTTATTTTTTCTCACTCTTTCTTTTCCGCTAAGACATTTGAATGCGTAACTCTATGAAAAAGAGCCTTGGCAATAGATTAAATCAATCAATAGTCAATACATGGATTCATTAACTTTCTTTGGCGAAAACTATGCTAACGTACAAATGACATTTCATGAATTTTCTTTGGATTTTTATATAAACAGCGCGCAAAAAAATAAATGGACCACCCTAAATAACTTTTGATCAAGTGAACGGATCTTTATGTTCTAAGACACAATCTTAATGCTTCGAAGCGGTGATCTCTAATATACTAATTAATTAGTGCATACGATGTTTCAAGTAATGAAATCATACACAAAAATTTACTTTCTTTGAATAAATATACCTTTTCTTTGACGGATTTGGATTTTTGATCTCCGAAATAAAGGGGGTTGTTGCAATCTGGGAAATATGGCCCCAATAGTTTTGTCAGGAGAGCGGTTTAAAGTTTGAACCTTTTAATTTTAATTTTACTTTTTGCACATATCACAATGCCCCAAGAACTTTTAAAGCGAATCGGCAAAGTTCTACACATAATTGTTAAATTCGATCGTAAAAATGAATCCATTGCCAATTCATTTTTACTTAGCCTTGCGCATTTAAAAGTGTTGGAGGTAAAGAAAGCATTAGAAATAATAACAAATTTTAATTAAAGTGTGCTAATGTGTGCTTCTCTGTGCTAATGTGTTAGACAGAGGTAGAGTGAATCTCTAAAAATAGATTTTATTCTTCGTTCAATTCAATGTTTGGGGATTAAAAGACTGCCAATTAATGATTTTAATATATTGAAAAAGGATTAAATAAGAAAATAATTTAGTTCTTAAATGTTGGGAAATATGGTGTGCATATTTCAGCATGGCAAATAATTTAATCCAATAGACATTTCGCAAAAATAACAATGTCACGACTGCTGTCTGTTATTACCTCTGCGAGTGAGATGCTAGCCACTATAGATAGATCAGCTAATGTTAAATGTTTGCCAGCAACGTATGGATTTCTCTCCAGGCACTGATCCAGGTATTGTAGAGAATGCTTGTAACTGGTCTCTTTGCCTATGTCCGGAGATTCTCCTCGAAATATCAAGGGATACTGGAAAATGGACAATCAAAATAGTTTTATGACATGGCCTTTAGTTTAATTTTTTTAAAGATTTTACAACGCACACTATTAAAAGATTTGATTCAATGCTGAATCAGAATATAAGTACAATGAACCATAATACAGTGCAAGTTTACTACAACTATAATAAGGTGCTGAATTGAACCATGTTTCCGTACAAGTTGAACCATGTTGACGCATAATCTAGTTAAAGAAATACAATAATTTGGTTCAATGAAGCGTCGTATTTAATTTGCAGCAAATTTGATATTAATTTCATGACATTATGCTATAAAACTACTAACGATGTAGTTTTACCTAACAATGTAGTTACAATGTAGTAGTAATTAAAATAAAATTATCCCTCATTTAACTAAACTTTGGGATAAAGAGAAACTTTGCTCCAAATACTGGTTAAAAATTAACAATGTACTATAATTCAACTAGAAGGATACATGCTTCAAAACAAATTTCTGGCATCAAAACTAATTATTCAAAAACCATCTATCAATAAAAACAGAATTCAATACTCCCTCTGACAACATAAAACTGAGAAGAATTATTAAAACATAAACTATCCTTAAAGTAATTAACAACGTCTTTCATTTTGATAAAAATGTTAAAAAAAACATCTACCCAAATTTAATCCAAATGTCTTTAATTAACGTATCAGTTTTCAATTGGATGCCTACAAGCGACGTCATCGTGGCGTTCGTTTATGCCACGATTCAAAAGCCAATCATGTTCGACACACAAGTGAATTTGTTTACAGATTTCAATTAAATCTGAACCAAAATTTGATTTAATAAACCAAATCTAGTAACTGTAACGTTAATCCGCCAAGTACTACCACGTGATTAGGCCCAACCCTGTAATTTAAATCACATGTTTGGATTTAATCACGTATTCTCCGTTTTTAGTTTCAAGTACCTAATTAGGTAATTTTAAGTGACGTTGTTGTAGGTAAATCATGACATTTGTCGATTCAGAAGCCAATCTGGTTCGACACAAACACGTGACTTTGCTTACAGTTGTCTAATCAAATCTGATTTAAGTTATATGGTTAGGCATCATCACATCACTTCTTCTCGAGCTGCAAATACCCAATTGTGCGTTGAAGTTCTACATGAGTTTAATCATTTGAGGACAAATGGCACTAAACGCAAACAGGCAAAATTAATAATGAGGAGTTAACTTTTAAACTTCCGAATATATATCGAAGTCATATTTTCTTAATAGCAACTGTAACTTGCTTTTGGGTACACTAAATATTAATCCCTAAACATTTTTTTAGTTACTCATGGAATGTAAGCATTTTCCGACTATTTTAATGATTTCAATTACGGAGATAACTGATTCAAAAGTAACAAAAAAAAAAATCAGCATTAATAACGAGAAACAAGTTTTCTTTTATCCTCAAAATGTTCAATATCCTCAAATGTGTTTTTTTCTTTCTTTTAAAATAAAGTTAAAATTGTTGAGCGGAGCAATAATATACTACATCTAAACAAGTTTGGAAAGTTACGTTCTTACGGATCTATTATTGGCTAAGAGCCAAAATGTAACTAAAATTAACGAAATATAATTAATTTACGAAATAAAATTTTACTAGTTTATTCAAGTTTATTCAACATGGCATGTAGTGACACGGTATATTTTTTTGATTCTACCGGAGAAAGATTCTCTATCCATTGAAATTTTTAAATTATAAGTTCTTGATTTTTTTTCTGTCTGGCTTTTAAAATCTATTTCAAGTATTCAAATTACCTATTGTATGCAAAACAAGTGTTGAATATTTTGCGGAATATTTCACTTTTAAAAACGTAGATAGTTGTACTTAGAACCTTAATCGAGAGTTATTTATGTCATAGCCTGCCAGATAAAAATGTACGTTTGTTATCAAATTTTGCGAATTTATGAACGGAAAAAAAAATATTTCAACAAGAGATGTTAGCACAAACAGTTGTGTCAACTCTTTATCATTATTTACAACAGGCTTTAAGCAACAGTAAACTCTACTTCAGAAGTTGTAAAGAGATTAAAATCATACATCCGCTCAACTGAACTTAATCTATTCGATAAAAATAGTTCAACCTTTTTGGTTTAGGGAATAAATAGAAAATAGTTTTTTTTAATCATTTTATAGAGGTTATTTTTTAAATAACTTTGCCTACATACTATCCTTCACTCATTAGACAATTTAAACAAAATAATTAAAATAATTACTAAATTATTTCATAATAATAATAGTTAAAATAACTTGGTTTAACATACTATCTCCTGCTGAGCGAGTCATTTAAAAAAATTTAAAATAATGATAATAATAATAATTGAAATAACTTGGCCAACATACTATCGCCTGATGAGCGTGTCATTTAAAAGAATTTAAAATAATGATATTAATAATAATTAAAATAACTTGGCCAACATACTATCTCCTGCTGAGCGTGTCATTTAAAAGAATTTAAAATAATGATATTAATAATAATTGAAATAACTTGGCCAACATACTATCGCCTGTTGAGCGTGTCATTTAAAATAATAATAATAACAATAATTAAAATAAATTTTTCAACAAACTATCCCCTGCTGCTGCCATACCATTTAAGAAAAAATGCATGCCATTCATAAGAGATTAAAAAAAATAATTATTCTAATATTGTTGACTGATTATCCCCTGCGGAGCAAAATTGCGTGTTAAAGTTGAGTTAAATTTCTCCACACAAGTTACAATGCTAATTAACTTGAAGTTAATTAATAAAGTGCCGTAGTACACATCCAATTTCTTGAAATAATATTCTTTCTCGTCTACTTCTTTTACTTAACTTAGATTTATTATTTGTTTATGTATTTTATTGTAACCGTGATATATTTTTGTTTTGTATACCTGACAACTCTCTTGCATAATTAGTTTCTATTTCCACATGGCTTCGACCCTGTCTGGGTGTTAAGTAAGAAATATATAATGAAAGAATTGAAATTTTAGTGAAAGAATGTGTCACTTAAAGGAATTGATTCTAGACTGGCTTAGCTTACTCATAGGATGAAAAAAAATGCCACGTTTCAATAACCAATCAGGATCGAGACACTCACACCATGTCACTTGCAGGTATCCTATTCTAAAGCAGGTATCCTGTGTTCATTATTTTAATTACGTGGGCAGATTAGTTCAACTTTTACAGAAAATTTATTATAAAAATAATAAATGAAACTTATAAAATGTGAACACAGCTTATTTAAAGTTTATTAATTCTAAAATTCTGAATAATAAGGGCATCACGTGGTTATTTTATAATATAACAAAATGAGGACAATTTTAGTTTGGCGCTTTTAATTTTAAATACTAACTATAAGCAAAAACGCAATAATAACAAAGGAACATAACAATAAATAATAGATTAAGAAAGGCCGATAGAAATATATTCTGGTAAAATATCGTTAAATGAGTGATAAATAAGTCAATAATAGTTAAATACTGTTATAACTTTGATTAATGTGACAGCAAACGATATCTAGATCTTTATTATTGATCATATCATGTGGCTTATCTGCCCAATGAGAACACATGGAACGATAAGAAGCCGATTATCTTTTTAAGACATAAAAGGATCAGTTTAACTTGAATTTTCTAAAATATTATTCCGAATTAAGTTCACTTTTCCATTCCTATTCCTTAATATTTCTTATTCAATATTATTCCAATTTAATATATTTTATTTCCTATTTTTCATTTTATTTTTCTGACGTCATTTTCAAAATAAAATTTTAAACGCTATTTAGGCACAATGGGCAAAGAAAATAACGATAGTTAAAATTGTCATAAGTCTGTTTTCTGGATAGTTGAATTTATAGAACATTACAGCATTCATACGAACGCAAAATCAATTTTATGAACATATTGTCTTGTTCAGAGATATCGAAAATTAAAGTTTCATATTTGACAATAAGCATAAGTTATGGGAAAGCAATCTTAGAAATCGAATTACTATTCACAAGCATATTTTGTATTTTTACGCTTGGAGGAAAACATACGAAAAAAGCCTTGAACTACTTAGGACAATCTGGTAAATTCCAGTTCCAAGAATATTCTTCGATAGTATATTTTTACGCTCAACCTTCTCTCTATGAATAATCAATTGAATCAATTTTCCCTTTACATGCTTTGAATAAAAAAATTTCCCCATCCTTTTTCCTTGCATTATGAAAATTAATTAAGTAACTTACGTAATAAATTAATTAAAAGCATGAGTTATTATTTCATTATAAATAAATTTAATAACTTGCATAATTATTTCCATTTTAAAAATAATTTTCCGAAGTAGTTTGGGATTCAAAAACAGCTAGTACACTAAATTTGAAAATAATATCCGTTTTTCGAAGAACCCATTAGAGGAAACGTAAAGAATAAAAATGAAATAATACGTTGAAATTCATATATATGCAATATTTATGAAACATTAGAATTTTTAATGACATATTGTGACAAGATATTATTTAAAAAATTCCTTTTTTTCTTGAACAACAATGTATTTTTCACTGATTAAAAAAAAATTCATATGAAATAGATCAGTTTAACCCTGCCCATAGTTTTTAATTTTGATAAAACTTGCTACTTTATACAAATGTCAAGACGAGATGAACCCAAGTTCTGAATATTTATGATCGAAATTTTTTTGTAGCTCAGAGTTTCTGTGATAATGTATTGCGGCATCAACATGGCCAGATAAATTTAAACTGTGAGCTCACCAGACTCCTGTATCTATTCTCTACATTATGAAATATTGTTTGTGCAAGAAATGGTAATTTTAGCTTTTGAATTGTCGGTGATTCTCTGTTTCTTCACTATATTTTACTTTAAAATTTCAATCTTCAACGAAAATTTTTCCTTTCGCTTTTCCTTAGATAAAATCAGCGAAAAATGTTTCCAAAAGTCTTTTTACAGGAATTTATTCGTTCCTTTGAGAAATTTAATTTTATCCCACTGAAAGTCTTTAATTCCATTCTATTACTAAATTATTTCTTTGTCTTAACAATGAGGATAAAGTTGGTTGACCAGAGTAGCTGTTCATACGATTCATACGATACGATAATGTGAAAATTTATACCGGGTGTCGCGTAATGATCACGCTAAATACATATTTTAAGAATTCTTGTCAAAAATGAGGTGAAGAAAGTGCTCACCATAACCCTTTGACGCAGACATCGTCGTCTCGTTTATATATATATATATAAAGCAAAANTGCGATTATTAAATTTTAACCTATATTAGTAGTTCTTAAACTTTTTTCTTTTGACAAGTTTTCTTGATATTTATGCATTTACTAAATACTACTTTAATAATTTATTCTTTAAAATTCTTTTTCATTCAAATTTTTCGTTTTTTTCTTAAATTCTAAATGTGCATTTAAAGATAAAAAATTCATTTTCTCGTGCTTTCCGTTTTAAAATAAAAAACTATTAAAAACTGGTATTTTTTAAGAAACAAAACAAAAACTAAGTTTATATGTTGTTGTGATTTACATTTTTTCATAGTAAATCGTTATGGATTCCATCCTTAGAAAAGATTTCTGTTCCACAAAAAATACTTCCAAAGATGGTTGGATAGCGCACGCTTTTACCTCAACCTCTAGGTCAGTGGGTCGAAAGAAATGAAAGTAAAAGGAAAGTTGGTCCCCTTGAACCCATTGCACTTTTTTCATCGTATCATATAATCATCAATCATGTAACATTGCAATGCTACCTGTAAATTCATATATATATATATATTTTTTTTTTTTTTCTTTTTTCTTTTTTGCATTATGAAAAACAGTCTAATAATTAAAAAAAAAATTACCCGAATTATATTTTTACTAAAGCATAAATTCCAAAAAAAGTAGTTTGAAAAGAAAAGTTTATATTCATACTTTTTTTGTAAATCAAAAACATTTCAATGACGAATAACTGTTTCTCTTACATCTAAATAACTGCAAATAATTGCAAATTTGAAGAAAAAAAATATTGTTTGGAAGTGAGCCGTGTTTGGAAGATTTTACATTTTACACACAGAAAAAGGCACCAATATTTCCTGCTGTATTTCATAACCATAAATTATTAAAATACAAAATATAAGATTTTTCACTTATTTTGACTTTAGTGAACACAAAATTATAAAAAAAAAAGCAAGAAAAATATATTTAATAACCATTCTGCGTCGAAGAGTTAAGGATCGAGAAGTATTAAATACGCAAAGAAAAAACTAAAGCTTTCGAAATCTAATAGAAATCACTACTGAAAACTGGAAAACTTGATTCATTTCTGGAGGAAAGAAAAAAATTGAAATCAATCATTAGAAAACCTTCAAGTTTCACCAGGCAATGAAACTGGTTTAAGTCTTTTTCATCTTGCCTTCTTCACTCATGATTCCACAGACTTCAGCGTCAGTTTTGTTATTAATTTTCGTGCTTTATTAATTTAAGATCTCCAACGTGAACAGTTTATTTGATTTAAGTTCTTCTCAGGGTGATTTTAAAAGTCGAAAACTCTGTATATTTTGTAGAGAATTATTAGCTTACAAAAGAAAAAAATGTATGGGTGAATACCATGAATTCTACTTGAGATCTGTAGAGTGTACCTTGATCGAAATTCAACATCATGTCGACGACAGCTCTTTTCTTCGCATCTTTAGGATAAATAGCATTTGAAGGAGAATACTTATTCACTAGGTAGGTCATTATGGCACGACTGGAAGAAAAAGAAAGTTACAGTTAACTGTCTTATTTAGTTCTTTTTGAATCAATGTTTAATATCTAGCACCATCAACTGCAAAATCATGAATGGAGCCGTCCACAAATAAGTTTCATTAAAGTTATTATTTTATTTATTTATTATTAATATATTTATTACTAATATNTTATAATTCATTTATCACACACTCAGGAAAAATACGAAACTGAAAAATAAATTCAACCAAATAAAGTAGAATAATCAGATTACCAAAAATTTCACCAGAACCATCATTCTTTTCTTACATTTATTATTAATATATGTAATAAATATATTAGTAATATATATTTATTATTAATATATTTATTATTAATATATTTATTATTAATATATTCATAAGAGTTATTATTTTATTTCATAACTTTTTCAGTTTCTTTCAAGTTGTAGTTTAAAATTAAAAGCAAAAAAAAGAAAAAACACACGCATTTTTTTAATTATTTTTTGGTACATTGTAATAATTACTTTGTTAAATCATGCGCAAACTCTTCCAAATTTCAAATTACTTGTTTCTATATTTTAATGTTGAATTAGAATTAAAGAAATTTTAAATTAAAATTACATAACATAACGATTGAAGAAGTAAACTTTCATAAATATAATTGGACAACCTAACAGAGCTAAACTATCATAGGAGAAAATCTAGATGGACAAAATCTCATAATCACAATTTTAAAAATCTTATTGGAAGATATTTATTAACTAGGAAACAATTTCAACTGATTAAACTCATTTGTGTTATCTTTTTAATCAACTTAAAAAGCTAAAAAAAATCACAATCAGCGGGAAAAAACAAGATTTAGATATTTTTTAGATTAAGGATAATTTATACTAAAATACATAACTGAATAATTAATGTATCATTTTCAGAGAAACGCGTGCAGTTCTTTCCTCAATTATAAGTATTTTATTAGTAATAAATGTCTAAAATGTAAAAATTCTGCGACTGAAATGTGCTTTAATTTAATCATATGAAAACTTTAATCCAAAAGTAGCTCATTAACTGTATTTAATTAAAGTTGTGCTTTTAGTTATACACTCCACACGCTGCGCACAGATACCATAGTTCAAACAAAGGCTTGAAAACATTTTTTAAAAATAAATTAATTTAGCAATAAGTATTATAATTTAAATCACTATCATATACAGTTGGAAATTTCTTGGAAAAATAATGGTTAAATAACAGTTTATTTAATTCCAATTTTACCATATTCAAACAAAACAGTCAAATAACCATAAATAAAATGGAAATCAAACCGTTAACTCTGAGAAAAACCGTTTATTAACCGCTTCTACCTAATACGGTTAAATAACCACAATTTAATCGCACCAACTAAGCCCACCTTATGAAGCCCCTTGCAACTGTGTCCATATAAATACCGAGAGGGCTAATCTGTCAGTCTCACGATTGACAGAACTGAATTTCGAGTCAAAGCGTTGACACCACAATATTTCCTTCATTCCCTTTAACACATGAATAGTTTACAGTGCCCTGCACTCTCCAATGCCTGTTACTTAACGTAAAGCTAAGCTTAGCTGTTGTGCCCAGTTAAATTTCTTTTTGACAGTTTGGAAACCTTGCTAGTTGTAAATGGCAAAAAATCCGCACAGTTTTGTATTTATGGTTTTATAACCATATTAGCTGCAAACGGGTTCAAAACTATAAAGATAGAAATGTTCTTTACAGTAAACTTTAAGGTTAATTGAAAGTGCTCATTTGTATAATTTTTCTTTTTACAGATCGATAAATATTTGTTGAAATAATTTTTATAAGATCAAAACTTTTTTTCTTATTTGAATCAATAGGACATAATTTTCAACTAATTGAAGCAAATCTTTTTGTCTTCAACTTCTGCAAAATTGCGTTCGACTCCATAAACGTCGTAATGAGACCAAAAATTAACTTTTCGTAACTGCTCTTCTCTTCGGTAATAAAACTTCTCTATCAAAACTGTAAAAAATTCCAAATCAAATTTCAGTAAAAAAGTATTGGTACTCGAGGTTCGGGTATTTTTTTACAGTAAAATCCATTTTAAAAATTACAGTATAATATTTTACCTCAAAAATGGATTTTACTGATGATGAGCCCTAAGTGCTGGTACTTAATGCCGTAATTTGATCCGGAATTTTTTTATTGTGTAGAATTGTTTTTAGTATCATTAATAGTCAGTTATACCTTCTTCATAAACTTACTTATTCACTTATTAAATAATTGATTTAACTATAAGTTTGAAAAACTACAATTTCAAAAGTTATTTAAACATATGATATGGTACCTTTCCCATAGGTAAAATCCATCATCATCAATGGTTGGCACGCAAGATCTTGGATTTATCTTTAAAATGCAAATAAAATTTATAAACAACAAAAATACAGAAAGATAGTTCAATTAAAAATAGTTATAAAAGGCAAATTATTACCTTTAAAAGAGAAGTAAAATTTATACATAAAAAAATTACATAATTATAGTTTTATTCAAAAAAGCTATAATATTATTACTTTTAAATTAATAATTATTACCTTTATAATAATTATTACCTTTAAATTAATAATTATCACCTTCGAATTATAATTATTGCTTTTAAAAATCTAATGAAATCGATAAACAGCGAAATTAAGATTTAATACAATAACTCTATTAAAACAACTATAAAAGTCAAATTATTATCTTTAAAAGGAAAGTAAAATTTGTAAAGAATAAAACTGCACTACAATGATTCTATTAAACAAGTTATAAGTATATTTTAAATAATATTTCGTTTATAAAATAACTTTTAAGAAGTTTCGTTATAAGATAGCCTTTAAGGCAATAACTTTTAAGAAGTTTCGTAATAAGATAGCCTTTAGGGCAATAATTTTTAAGAAGTTTCGCCACAAGATAGCCTTTAGGGCAATAACTTTTAAGAAGTTTCGTAATAAGATAGCATTTAGGGCAATAACTTTTAAGAAGTTTCGTAATAAGATAGCCTTTAGGGCAATAACTTTTAAGAAGTTACGTAATAAGATAGCCTTTAGGGCAATAACATTTTCGGAAGTGGGAAGTCTCAAATACATTTGAAATAAATAAATGGTGTTGATCGCACAATCAACTATTTACTTTCCGTGAATTCAGAGACTTTAAAAATTAAAAAAAATAGACATTTAAAATAATTGATTATTTAACCCTTTTAAGGGCAATGATATAAAAAAAATTTCTATTTGTTTTTGACAATAATATAAGTCACTAATATTGCAATAATTTTTATTTTCTTAAACATATATTTTTAAATCAACTTCTTCAAGCTTTGAAAAAAATAAATATAGAGCAAATTGTTCCAAAAAATGTTCCTAAAAAATCACAATTCTTATGGCTTCTCTTGATACAAATTTTTGTTTAAATTTTTTTAACTCACAATGGGCTGAAGAGATAAGATGAAATTTATAAACAAGAGATCTTCCTTTTTATAAAGTTTCTTTTTTCTCTTAATTTATTTTTTTTCCACAATCACAGTTAATTAATTTTTTATAATATTGTTAAGGTAATTGTTTATATAATTACTAGAATAAGAGATATTGTTTTGTTTAAGCAAAGTATGATTTTCATATTTTTTCTCCTTTCATCTGAAAATTAAAAATAAAAATTATAACTCTTATAATATAAGGTTAAAAGACCAGTTCAAATAAATAGAACATCCGAATTTTATATTTCCGCCACATATTTTATGAGTAAATATAGGATTTAAATTTTTTTTATGCGTAAATAAAAGATTGTTTTCAAGCATGTGAAAAACCTAATCATTGGAGTAAATTGGATTCACATTGGAATAAATTGGGTTCACATTGAAAAAGATATCATATTGGAGTAAGTGTTATTCAATGTGATATCTTTCTTCCCCCGTTTATTGTACATATTCCTATGATGTAAGTTTAAATTAGAATTATAAGAATGGAGTGCCCAAGATTATTTTCACCCAAAATGGCGCAATAAACATTTACAGTTAGCCTCCACTGCAATAAAGTAAAAGTAATGAAAAATGCCTTAATTTTTTTAGGAAATAATTTTATAAGTAGAAAATTTTTGAAATCGTTCTCAATTGTTTTACAATAATTTTACAATTTGTTGTTGCTGAATCCGTGATAAAGAATAATGTTTTTTTTTTTACTTATTATGAAAGAATTACTATTATTTACATAATTAAAAGCTTATACATGGGCGTAATAATTTTGATTTTGCTTATAAATGAATATAAAAATATTAAAATTTAATCGAAATCATTTCTATTCATATTATTTATAAATACTTTTTATCAATACGTACATGCTACGATTTATATAAAAGATAAATGGTGCTTATAATTGAATGTATTGATTATGATTTAAATAAAAAAACGCTTATATATGAAAGTAGAAATGCGTTTAATTTCAACCGAATTATGCAGAAATGTAATTTCTATTCATTTTAAATATGAATACTTTTTGTTAATGCACACATATATGTAAAACGGTATGTTATAATTTATATTGATGCTAGGTGAAGCCTATAAGTTATTGTTATTGCTAAGATTAACATTAGAAAAATATTTATAAGCATATGTACTTATTATGATTTACTTTTAAAAAAAAGTATTATGAGTGAAAATAAAATTTCTTTACCTAATCCTCGGTATATTAATATTTTATGTAAATTCATATACAACGGAAATATCATTTAAGTAAAAAAAATGAAGCAGAAATATTATTAAATAAATCTGCGAAATTAACTACCTTTAATAATAAATGAATTAAAAAAGGGAAAAAAATTAATTAACTACCTTCAAGAATTCCTGATGTTTTTGAGGATTCCCTATCACAATATTCTCCTCTCTAAGCTCCGCTTGGATTCCTAGATATTTAATTGTCATCAACACAGCCCTGCAAGGAGGACTTATTTCCATCATATATAACACAAGAACCATCTTTCATTACGAAATAAATCAACCGTCAATAAACCAAAAATCGTCACAAATATAAACGAAGAACACGAAGCGCTGTTGTGAGTTAAAATAAAATCCCAGATGTAACGAAACCAAATAGAAACAAACCTCGTGGTGTGAAAAAAGTATTCTGTCGCATTAGAAAGCAGTAATCCCTAACGAGATGTTGAAATTTCCCTCACAACATGATTTATTTTTCCCACGATAAAGGCGGATCAAAAATTGTTATCTAGTTTGGCCATGCAAACAATTACGTTTTATTGAAATGAATAAAGATGCTGGATTTCGTACGTTAACTCAAACTTTACATTCTGACTCAACCGGTTATTTGATTTTATTAGTGTGACAATTGTCGCATGGAAGCTGCTAGTTTAAACAGATGCGTGACATTTAACATCTGCCACCTTGAACGGATGGAAAATTTTCACAGTTTTCTTGGTCATTAATATAAATATTAATTTAAAACACGTTTCAAAATCAAACTTCTCTGATTTTCAGGAACAAATATTGTCTAAAAAATTCGAACATATTTATTCTATAGAATAATGATAGTTTACATAAACAACAACTGTTATTAAAAAAATAATCTCGTTCATAAAGTACAATTTTATATTCTGACACAACGGTTTTTGAATTTTATTTTATTTTCACGGAAATTGATAATATAAACAGGTGAGTCGTTCACCTTTTCAAACGGAGTTGTTGTAAATGAAAATAAATATTAATTTAAAATACTTGTTCAAAATCAAGCTGCTTTTATTTCCCATAATAATTATTGTCAACATCAGAAAAATTCGAGAATATTCATTTTCAAGAATGATCATTTTATACATAAACAACTATGCATCATTGAATTGAATAACATTAATTTTGTTCATACACTTTAATATTCTGACTTAACAGGTTTTTTTATAATTTTTTTTTTTTTTTACGTAGAAGTTTCTAATTTAATCACAAGCGTGATGCCAAACAACTGTCACCTTTATAGATACAAATCTTTCCCTGTCTTGTTGGTAATGAATATGAATATTAATATAAAACATAATTCAAATTTTTTTTCTTATTTATAAGAATATTAAAAGAAAGAGAAGAATATATATAAGAATTATAAAAGAATACATTAAGAATTATAAAAGAACATATATAAAGAAATCTTTTTATTTATAAGAATAATTGTCAATGAAAAGATAAAAAATACTAATTTCAAAGACCAATTATTGTATATATTCACAACTACGCTTTATTGAAAAGAAGAAAAAACTTTGTTCATAAACTTAAATTTTTTATTCTGTCTTAATATTTTCGTATAAAATTTTTTCACAGTAGCTGCTAATTTAAATGAATGCGAAATTAAAAGACTATTATACATTCGGATGGAAATTTTTCTTGGTTCTATTGGTAATAAATACAAAATATTAATTATTTAATATATTAATTAATATAAACACGTTTCAATTAATTTAAATTAATAGAAACAAATTTCATACATAATATTAATTAATTTAAAACGGATTTCAAAATAAAATTACATAAGAAAAATCACATAAAATTATCTACATAAGAAATAGTGAATTTTAGCACTAATTATTCAAACTATACGTTTCAATAAAATGAAAAATATGAATTAATGTCTTGCATCTGCTTAAATTAACAGCTTATGTGGATAAGTTGAATCAGAATTTAAAATTTAAGCTTATGAACTAAACTCAATTTTTTTTTTAATTTCAATGAAATATATAATTACAAATTCAATAATTATAGCGAAAAAGAAGAATTCTCTTTTTTTTTATTCATATTGCATTCTTATTAGAATACCTAAGAAACAATGATCTAGTTAGTTTAAAAAAATAATAATAGTAAGTTAAATTTAAGTCTACTTAATAATATCATGAAATATTATTGATATTCATTTTTTCCAGGTATTTTGAATCAATTGTTGAAGAAAAATATTGTTCTTGAAAATAATAGAAGTTTAATTTTGGAAATGTGTTTAAATTAATATTTATATTCGCATCCAACAAAACCGAGGCAACTTCCACGCGAAAACGTCACAGTTTCTTAATGTCTAATTTGCTCCAATTAGCAGCTTGTGTGAACAGAAAAAAAGAAAATTTGAATCAGAATTTAGAATTTTTTATTTTATTTCAATGAAACGTATAATTACTAATAAATTTAATAATTATTGCTAAAAAGGAAAATTCTCCATTTTTTTAATAATTATTCTTGAAAACGAAGCAAATTTTGAAACGAAATGAGTTTTAAATTGATACTTTGTATTCATTACCAATAAGACCAAGAAAAATTTTCCATCGGAAAAGGCGACAGTATTTCGCATCCATTTAAATTGGCAGTTGCTGGGAAAAAAATTTAATAAAAAAAATACTGATTCAGAAAAAAAAATTAGTTTATGAACAAATTTATTATTTTTCTTTTCAATAACAATTCAATTTCATTTCTATTTCTAAACAAAATTAAATGTCAACAATAAGAAGTAGACTTAAATTTCACACATTATTTTTTTAGAGAATTGTTTCTTGTGTTACGTTGTATTCTAAAAATGCTAATTTAAATTTTAAAAAAAAAATTGAGAATTTTCCTTTTTAGCACTAATTATTACATTTGTAATTATATATTTCATTGACATAAAAAAATGAATTTCGTTCATAAATTAAAATTTTAAATTCTGATTCAACATATTTTTTTTTGTTCACATAAGCTGCTAATTTAAGCAGATGCAAGACATTAAGCAACTGTGACCTTTTCAAGGGGAAATTTTCTCGGTTTTGCTAAGAACGAATATAAATAATAACATAAACACTTTTCAAAATCAAACTTCTTTATATTTTCAAGAACAATATTTTTCATCTGAAATTTATTCAAAATATCAGAAAACAAAAATTTCACAACTCAGGAACAATTTCACAATATGAAGTAAATTTTTTTAATAATATTGCCATTGTTTCTTGGACTACTGTCTATTCTAAAAATGCCAGTATGAATAAATTGAAAAATGATTTTCAATTTTTTTTTCTTTTTCTTTTGGTGACTATAAAACATTTGAAACTGCATTTACATTTTAAAAATATGCTATAAAATGTGTATATAACACATTAATTAAACACTTCTATGCAATTTTTATGATCCAGTCAAACAGGGTTATCGTTGTATAAACATAATGTTTACACAATAAATCATGTCTATGAATTCGTGCTCTCCGCGTTACAGTCTGTTGTCAAACAAAGAATGAAAAAGAAATTTTTCAAATTTTTCCGAATGTCGCAATTGATATTTTGTCTCGAAATCTAATTAGAAAATACATGTAATAACCCAGTAGCAGATTTTATTATTTGAAATTATTATTCATTGTGTTTCATAAGGCATTGCTTAATATATTTATCAGTAATTTGATTGAAAACAATGAATGTTTATTTTTAATTCGTGAAATGTATTTTATAATTCGCGGCTCCCGTAGAATTTAAGCTTATGTTGTATTTTTGAGGATTTCACCGCAAAAATGTCAGTGCTCTACACACACACACACACACAAAAAAAAAAAAAANAAAAAAAAAAAAAAAAAAAAAAAAAAAAAAAAAAAAAAAAAAAAGAGTAAAATCTTTGTACAGGGTAATTTTAAATCTATAATTATACTTTTTTTATATTTCAGAACCTTCATTGAGCAGCCAACAAAATTTCGGGGTTTACAAATACTGATAACTAGTTTAATCCAAACCCCGCCCCCGCACAGGGCTAAAGAGAATAGAAGGGCTGGTTCACTCCTTTGAAGTATCTCTTGCCGCGGTCTGAAATAGAACACGTAGAGCACCTCCATNTGTTTATGAACGGAAATAATGTGTTAATTACGTAAAGTTTGAAGGCTAATAACCAGAAAAAGTCTAACTTATTTTTACAAGAGAAAGATGCAAAGTTATCATATCTTTGCTTGCGATCTCCGAGATCTGTAGACACAGTGACGTCATGAGAAGGGAAATCGTAGCTTCAGCTCTAAGAGCGGAGTGAACTAGCCCTTGTATTCTCTTTAGCCCTGGCCCCCGCAGGGGTTATCCGGAGGCGTCTAAGCAGACCCTACCAAGGATTGGAAACAGTTGGCGAAAAATTCGATTGGCGTTAAGGGAGAGTTCTCGACAATCGCTAAGCAGCTGTGTGCTCATGTTTTTGTTTTGTTTCTGGTACAGTATCATTCACCAAGTTAGATATGGATGCGACATTTCACAGTTTCAATGAAACGGATCTTCCTAAAAATTTCTCGAATGCCATTACCAAAAATTATGGGAAAATAAGGGAAATTCGCTCTTCTATTAAGTCATATATATAAAGTCAAATGCTGTTAAATGAATTAAATAATTAAAAAAATAACATAATTATATTATTTTGTTTAATTATGCTTTTAATTACTTAATTCATTTAACAGTACGAGTGCAATTATACGTTACATGTGATCGTTACAGAATAACCTGTACGCAATATATGTAAATAGAATATATTTTTAAAATTGTGCATTATCTATTAATTGCATTTATTATTCTAATATTGAAAGAGTATCAATGTATCTATGATCTTGAAGAAAATGTTCACCTTACTCAGATGCTCACTCTTGATTGACAAAATATTTGATTTATCAGTGAAAGTTTTTATTTTTGCCTTAATTAAATATTTAACATTCAATTATACTGCGAAATTTATTAATTCCGAAGATACTCAATGGAATAAACAGCTGAGCTGAGTGATATTGTTTGAGTATTCATTGAATAAAAGAATCGGCTAAGTGACTTGGCGATAAATAGTCCTCAAACAACTCTGGAAATCACTTGCTTGGCAAGCATGGAACCCTAAAGCGCGGTAAGGAAGAAAAATTGTGAAAATAAAAAATTTAAAAAGCAATAAAAACACTTTTATTTAAGTTCAGAATTACCTCTCGAATGTAACGAAAAAACATAGCATTTCTGACAACAATCAGCGCTATTTAAAAGAATACTTTTTTAAATATCAAAAATTACCGAATGTTCGCCAATTAAAGCGATACATACCGGTGGAACATCTACTCCACGAAAGTTGAGCTCACGCTGCCTCTGCATCGTTTTTGATCGGTTTTCGGACAAACAAGCCTAGATAAAATTTCATGCCAGCTTGTTCTAAATTAAGGTTGCTTAAATTTTATTTCATAAATATAAACATAAATAAACGTATACTTATTTTATCTTTTCAAACAAAATTTTATTCGATGAAAAACATTAAAAATCTTCCAT